GTTTGCAATTGTGAATTGTGCTGCAATAAGCATTTGAGTGCAGGTGTCTTTTTGATGAAAAGTCTTCTTTTTCTTTGGGTAGATACCCAATAGTGGGATTTCTGTATCAAATGGTAGGTCTACTTTTAGTTCCTTGAGGAATCTCCATACTGTTTTTCCTAAGGGTTTTACTAATTTGCAGTCCCACCAAGACTGTATAAGCACTTTTTTCTCTCTGTATTCACATTAGCATCTATTGTTGTTGGACTTTTTAATAAAAGCCATTCTAACTAGGGTAAAGGATATCTCCCTGTAGTTTTAATTTGCATTTCCCTGATGATTGGTGACTTTGAGCATTTTTTTCATATGTTTATTGGCCATTTGTTTTTCTTCTTTTGAGAAGCTTCTGTTCATGTCTTTTGTCCACTTTTTAATGGGGTTGTTTTTTCCTTGTTGACTTGTTTGAGTTCTTTGTAGATTCAGGATATTAGCCCTTTACCAGATGTGTAGCTTACGAATATTTTCTCCCATTCTGTAGATTGTCTGTTTGCTTTGTTAATTATTTCTTTAGCTGTGCTGAAGCGTTTCAATTTAATCAAATCTCATTTATTGATTTTTGTTGTTGCCATGATTGCCACTGGGGTTTTAGTCATAAATTCTTTGCACAGGTCGATATCTAGAAGAGTGTACCCTAATGTCTCACCTCATGGAACTAGAAAAGAAAAAACAAACCAAATCCAAAGCCAGCAGAAGAAAAGAAATAATAAAGGTCAGAGAAGAACTAAATGAATTGGAAAACAAACAAACAAAAAATACAAAGGATTAATGAAACAAAAGTTGGTTATTTGAAAAGTTAAACAAAATTGACAGACCTCTTGCTAGATAACCAAGAGATAGATAGATAACAGAAGAGAAAGGACCCAGATAAGCTTAATCAGAAATGAAAAAGGTGACATTACAACTGATACTGCAGAAATAGGAAACATCATCCATGAATAATACTATGTAACTCTCTCTGTGTATAAACTAAAGAACATAGAGGAAATGGAAAAGTTCATGGAAACACACAATTCGCAAGACTGAACCAGGAAGAAATGAAATTCCCAAAGAGACCAATAATGAATAGTGTTTACAGGTAAGTGCAGGAGATCTAAACATTACTGAATGTATGTGTGTGTGTGTGTGTGTGTGTGTGTGTGTGTGTGTAACTGAATATACACAGTTGAATAACTTAAGGGTTCAATGACATTGAGGAAGTGGGACTAGGTGATTCAAAATTAGAACTGGACTGTTACAGAATGGCTCCTTTTACATACCAATAGTATGGCTGTTAAGAGTAAGGCCCCTCCTGAGTCTGGTGCTGGGAAAGCAGGTGAGGAAAAGGGTTGCTCTTAAATGCCCTCCCAGCAACTGTGGCCAGGGAGACAGGAGAGATGGGACATAAAGGGAGGATGGCGAGAGAAGTGGGGTAAAAGTACAATGACGTTTTCTCAGTTTGCAAAGATGGGAAGAGGAAAAGCAGAACGCTCTTCCTCATGAAGCAAGGGAACTCTAAAGGGCTGTATCAAGTCAACATGGGGGCAGAGCAGGTCCGGTTCACTGACGCTGTGATAATATGAAAACAAGCAACCATCCCCTACACAATCACACTCACACACAGGTTGCATTCAATCTGTCTACTACTGTGAAATGCTTGATAACAAAAGTAAAATGGGAAAAAATTAAATTTAGAGATGCAATTTTAAAAGTCCTCATATATTTCTGGACATTGTCACAGGGAAAAAAGGACTCATAAAACACATCACATTATTTGCAAAGCAGACTGGCTATGAGTTTAATATAAATTTTAGTGAGCACTGATCCAATGCATGACTTCCCCGAATAAATTACTTCAGGTAGCCCCTAGTGTTCAGAAATAGGAAACTTAGAAAACAATACATCTACTCTCTAGTTTTGAGAGTCCAGGTGCAGTAAGCATATGTCAAAAGAGCCAAAGGAAAAAGAAAAAGGAGAACCCAGCCAAAGCAAGTGACTCCTTCAAAAAAAATTAATTAAAAAACCATCAAAGCTTTTGTTCTTTTGGTTTATTTATTTAGCAATAGACAACCCTATAAACAATAGGAAAAGTATTACTTTTATCTAGCAAAATAGTTATATTATAGGATCCATCTACACCATGAAAATGTGGCAATCCCAGGACCTCACACAACAGTAGGCAATCAATAAAGACACAAAGTGAATTAGGCTGAACCAAAGAAAGGTAAATAAAAAAAAGACAAACTGAATTATAATCAGTATAGACAAGTACTGGGCTCTGAACAAGTTGTGCAACTTGAGGAAATGAATTCTAGAATCATTAATGCTATCGTATTTCCTTCAGTCAAAGATACAGCAAGCAAAGAAGGTTAGAGAGGAGAAAGGAGCAATGCAAGCTGAGTTTTTCTATAATGACTTTATTTTTCACAAAAATAAACAATAAAAATCTGGACATCTTCATGATCACTGCATTGACCATAATTTTAAGGACCCCTGCTGCAGCTGTTCTCTAGCAGTTTTTCTTTTTAAGTTAAATACATCCATTTTTTTTTTTCTGTATGGTTAGGCATAGTCCTATCACTAACTCCTAAATTCTAAACAAGAAACTTAAATGTAAGCAGATGGAAATGCATCCACTGAGTTAACTAGTATCACGTGGCATGACCTGACCTGCTCTAACTCCTGAGCCCTGGCTTCCTCGTTGATCTCGGATTACCTCATAGCTACTGGACTTTTGACTGTAATAAGTCAATGGCTTCTTAGTCCTGCTATTATTTCTTGGCTTCTATTCATTCAGCACAGTTGAGGCCCTGACAGCTGCCTTAGCGTCACTGTTGAGGTTTTTGTTTGCTTTTGCTGCTGTCCAGATGATTCAAGGTGCTGAATCTTTAAAGGGGTGTGTGTGTGTGTGTGTGTGTGTGTGTGTGTGTGTGTGTGTGTGTGTGTGTGTGTGTGTGTGTGTGTGTGTGTGTGTGTTGGGGCCTGGGAGAAGGTGTGGAGGGAGGGTGAAGCCGGGAGATGTAATTGGGACAGTACTGGGTGTGGAAATAGCCAATTCAGGGAAAACCTTCTGTTTCCCTTCCTCATGTATACAGAGCTCCAAAGTCTCCTATTGGGGCTAAGTTTGACATATGCTTTTTATGTGTCCTTAAAAACATATGCCCCAAATTCTCCAAATGCAATTTATTAATCTATGGATAGAAAAAAAAAAAAGAATCCTACCTGACAAGACCACTTCAATAAGATCACCTTCCTGGATATCACTGGCCGTTTTCACCAGCTGAAGGATGTTTTCGGAGGTAGGGTCATGGCGAAAAAGCAGAATCTTATCATACATTCCATAGAAACCACATTCAGGGAACTGCAAATACAAGTAACACAATAGTTTAAATGTCAAGATCTTCCTAAATGTTTTGTTTTAAATTAAAAACAAAATACGTAAATGTCAGGCCACAAATATAAGTTCATTAGAAAAGTTCAACATATCTAGAACATTAAAAACTTTTCTTAAATGAATGGCAAAGTTGACACTGACAAAACCACAAATTAGGGAGGGAAGAAGTCACATGTCATAAGGGCAATAATAACCAAGTGGCTTTCTAATTAGAGAGTAAGAAAACAAGAGAATATGAGATAAGATTCAAAGAAGTTCCTGGCAGTAAGGCAGTTAAGAAATATAATAGGTGGGAAGAAGTATGCATTTTCACACAATCTATGTAGCAATGCAACAACATAAAAATGGGAGTCGCTTTATTATAATTCTGTTTCACATAACTGTGGCAATTTGTTTGCAAAAAAAGAGGTCTGTCTGTTTGAGCATATTCAAAAATAAGAGATGACTCGATAAATCCAAATGTGCTCTGCGTGTGGGCAGCAGCATTATCTAGAGAGCCTTTGACTTAGGAAAGCACCAGAGGAGGCAACCAACTCTCCCTTCTGCTGCTGTCCCTACTCTACCCCTTTTAGTTTTCCTGCAATCTGTCAATCCACAATCTCATGAGCAGTGTAAGAGAAGGTCCATCTGCACCAGCATGAAGGATTTTCATTAAAACAAACATCCTACTCTAGTTTGTTATGTGAAAAGGAGCTCTCTTTTTTTGTATATGACTTTTTCATGTAATTATTAAATATTGTTTTTTTTATGATATAAGTTGATTTTTGTAATGTAGTGAAAAGATCCTAAGTCAGGGAAAGAGAAAATTATCTTTGTTGATCTGATCCTGGAACTGGTGAAGGGTCTGACATTTATGTCAAGATATGTGGACTTTAAGGTGCTATTGTCAGGAAAAGATGTCCAAAATCTGAAACCTTCTGAAAATAAACAAAATATACTATAAATTCCTCTTTCTTTTTCTTATTCATAAAATAAGGGGCTACATTCATGTGTCATTTTGTATGAATTAAAAATAAATATAATCAGAACATCTTCTTTCTCTTAAGAGTCTATGCTGATGACCAGGCTGAAAACTACTTCTGCACGTCACTTAGTAAACTTGACTTCCTTAAAATAAACACAACAGCTAAAATGATGTCACTGCTTCCACAGTGCTAATTAACAGGAAAAAAAAAAAAAACTTAGTTCTTTTTTTTTTTGAGATATCTCCAATAATATTATTAGAGTACAAGGAAACAGAGGGAAAAAGTAAAATAACACTTCCCCACCTTACAAACAATGGATAGCTTATGTGCTATTTTAAAAATCAGGGAGATTCTGGCAAGACAGCCAACTAGAGCCATCACTTGTTGGACTGTGCTGGACAGAAGGCAGGATATCAGATAGAGGAGAGGGGAAGAGATTCGAAGCTCAGGTGAGGATCATAGAGAGCGATGTCACAGACGGCTTGGGACCCCACAGGAAAAAAAACTGCAGAGCTGAGAAGGAAGAACTTACAGAGGAGAAGATATCAGCAAGGATACAACCCAGAGGGGCTCAGAACCCAGTGAAAGGTAAGGGGGGATTCTCCTCACCCTCATATACCTTCGCTGAACAGCAGGACACCAACTTTACCGAAGGCTTTTACACCCTCCATGAGTACAGGCGGAGCAGCAAATGCAGAATAGTGGAGTGAGCTAGCAATCCCCAGGAGTTTGGGCAGTCCATGAGGGGCACCCCCTGGGAGAGTGCCAGGAGAGGCTGGAGCGCCGGCTTTCTCCCATCCAGACACTTCCTCTGCTACACCTCCCCCACCCACTGCAACCCAAAAAGCAGATTGAGCTCAGCTGACCGGGAGCTGTGGCCCCTCCCCGACGCATTACAACTGCAAGTGTAGTTTGAGCCAAGAAGTTCGCCAACGGCCACTTCTCTCTGGTGGGCGAGCATCCCAGTCTGAGGTGTCTGCAGCGAGTGAGACCCACACCTCTTCCCGTTGAGGACTTGTGGTGGAACAGGGGTGTACAATTTGGGAACTTCCTGCCCATTGGCATTTTGCGGGGTCGCAGGCCAGTGGCTCAGATAAGCAAGCTGGTCTCGGTGCACCCCGGACTCGACAGAGGATTAGGGGGATGCAGGGGAGAAGTCAGGGAGCTGGACTCGGGTGGTAAGGGAGCCCACATGGATTTTTCCCACAGGAGAGTGTAGTGGGGTGCTAAGGAATGGGGATAGGGGAGCGCACAATTCCCCCCATAGAGAACTGCCATATTGGATAAAGGTGTGGCATTCGGAAAGGAGTAGCGTAACCCCCTGGTTCCCAGAACCATCAAATATCTCCTACTCGGGCGCACTGGCAGACCGAGTGCTGCAGCCCCTCCCCATTCATTACAATAGGGAGTGCGGTTTGAGCCAAGAAGTGTGCAAGCGGTTGTTTCTCTTTGGTGGGCATGTGCTACAGGCTGAGGTTCCCACAAAGAGTGGGACCCACTCTTCTGCCTCTGAGGATTTGTAGTGGAACAGAAGTGCATTATATAGGAATGCCCTACCCACCGGCATTTCATGGAGATGCTTGCTCGTGGGTCAGACACATAGACTGGGCGGAGGTTTGAGAGCAGGACTTGGGTGATGAGGGAGCACACATGGCCTGAACTGATGGCAGTGTGCTGTGGGGGTCCAAGGACTGGCGATTTGGCAGAGTGCCCACCTCTCCCCACAGAAAACTCGGCTACTGGATAAGGGCATTAAGATCCCAGGCAGGGACCTTAGCACTCAAGTGTTTAGGCTCTTCCCCCATGAATAGGCCTCCCAGATTGGAGAGCTTGTCCTGACCCTCATACCAGTGGCGCCCCCTAGTGTCCAGAAAAGCAACTTCTGAGCCCCACCAAGACTTTGCAAAGCCTCTCAGGGCTCTGCAACAAAGCCACGAACTGCCCTGCTCCTTCCCCCACCTCAGTGGTGGCAAGCACCCCCCTGGGAGCTACAGGGTCTCTCCTAAAGTGTGGAGCATTCAAGTACTCCACTAGGGAGACCAGACTCTACCACAGGCACAAAAGAACATCTGGGCAGCTGGCTCTGTCACATAAACATCAACCAATGACAGGGAAAACAACTCTATAGCTCATCACAGCATCGTCCAACTCAAGCAAACAGGGTGTGGCTGATTCATACTCACAAGTACCACCTCCCGTAATGGAGATTAAGCTGCGGGACCCAACACAATTCACACTGCTGGGAAGAGGTGAAGACAGCATGACAGAGGCAATCTGAGAGGATCATCAAACTTGCTTTAACACCCCGTAGTCAACTCGGGACCAGCACTCCTCTCCCTGGCACAGTAAGGAATTGATTTCTGGGGACCCGGGGACAGGCCTGCAAACTAGGCCCAGTACCCCCAAGACTTGATTGAGAGGCCAGATGAGAAGGAATCAGTGAAAGAACTCCAGAAGTATGAAAAATCAGAGTGAAAAGTCACCTCCCAAAGGAAACAACAACTCTTTATCAATGGATACCAACCAAAATGAAAATATCAAAATGACAGATAAAGAATTCCAAATTTGGATTACAAGGAAGCTCAATGAAATACAAAAGAAAATGGAAAACCAACACAAAGAAACCACAAAAACAATACAGGGAATGAACAAAAAATTCACTAAAGAAATCAAATTATTTAAAAAAAATCACATAGAACTCCTGGAAATGAAAAATTCATTCAAGGAAATCAAAACTCAGTGAAAAGTTTTGAGAATAGACTAGATCAGGCAGAAGAAAGAATCACAAAGCTTAAACAATAACTTCAAATTAAACAAGTCAGTCAAAGATAAGACCTGAGAAAAAAGAGGAATGAGCAAAGACTACAAGAAATATTGGATTATGTAAAGAGGCCAAACACAAGAATCATGGGCATCCCTGAGGGTTAAGAAGAAAACACACAAGGGTTGGAAAACCTATTTAACAGAATAATTGAGGAAAACATTCCCTGGTATTGCTATAAATTTAGATATCCAAGTACAAGAAGCTCAAGGAACACCTGAGAGATCATTGCAAACAGGCAATCACCACGACATACAGTCATCAGACTGGCCAAAGTCAACATGAAGGAGGAACTCCTGTAAGCCACAAAGGGCAGTAACGTGAAGCATCAGGTAACTTACAAAGGAAAACCCATCAGACTAACTGCAGACTTCTCAAATGAGACCTCACAAGCCAGAAGGGACTGGGGCCCCATACTCAGTCATCTTAAACAAAATAATGGCCGGCCTAGAATTTTTTATCCTGCAAATCTAAGTTTCTTATATGAGGGAGAAATAAAGACTTTCTCAGACAAGCAAACACTGAGAGAATTTGTCAAGACCAGACCGGCCCTGCAGGAAGTACTCAGATCTGCACTATACATCTATTGGCACAATAGAAACCCACCAGTGTAAAATCAACCAAAAGCTAAAGCTCAGAGCCCATACATAATAATAGCTCAAGAGCTAAAACAGAGCAGTAATATTCTACCCAACAGGATCCCATTTATCAATTCTTTCAATAAATGTGAATGGCTTCAATTCGCCACTCAAGAGATACAGGCTGGCTGAATGGATAAAAAAACACAAGCCAAGTATCTGCTGTCTCCAGGAAACACATCTAACCCACAAGAACTCATTCAGACTCAAGGTAAAGGGATGGAAAAAAAATATTCCATACAAATGGAAATCTAAAGAAAGCAGGTAAAGCCATTCTCACACCAGATAACATAGACTTCAAATCAACAATAGTAAAGAAAGACAAAGATGGTCCTTATATAAAAGTAAAAAGACCAATTCAACAAGAAGACATAACAATCCTAAGTATTCATGCACCTAACACAGGAACCCCATTAAAAAATGTGCAAAAGACATGAACAGAAGCTTTTCAAAAGAAAATAAACTAATGGCCAATAAACATGAAAACATGCTCAACATCACTAATCGTCAGGGAGATGCAAATGAAAACCACAATGAGATATC